GCAGGAATGAGGAGAGGGTGGCGGCTGGGTGCTTGGTAGCTCTTAGAGAAAGATGGTGGAGGCATCCCGTCTGTCACAGGTACCCCGTACCCCCTGCGCGGGGTAACAGTCAGTAGCGTGAGGGCCTGGTGCGAGGCTGACTTTCTTATGTTTCTGTTACAGATGGTGGCTCCCTAGGTGTTGTGTGGCAACCAGAGCACGAGCATGGCAGCCGAGGCTTATAGCCCCTCTGGAGGGGGCCTTCTGCCATCAGTAGGCTTAGGCCTTGCTCACTTGAATGACTCGGATAAGCTAAGTAGATCCTACCCCTCGTCCAGCAAGAGGAGGAGAAGTCAGCTCTCTGAACTCTGCCGGCTTAGAGCGTCTCTGTCTGGTGATGGTGAGCACACGATTTTGAGATTGACTTCACGTGTTGTCAGTGAAGGTGGTGTGTTTCAGGTGGTTTCAGATCTTCCTCCTCCCCTCCCCCAAACCTAGAAGCGATAGCAATTAGTAGCTGCCAGAAAGCGCTTGTTCGATAAGCAGCTGAGCCATAGGTTACTGCAGCCTGGGAGAGTTTACAGGGGCCGCGTTGCTGGATAGGTGCTCTGCACTTGGACTTGTCCCAGGGCAGCCTTTATTGGCTGAGATTGGAGCACCCTGCCACTTTGTGTTATTATCTAAACCACAGAAAATTTCCAAATGGGGAGAAAGATGTTATACTGGATTCTGTTACGAGGGGAAGAACTTCGCAGTTTACAATGCATCCAGATACAGATCTCCCTGTTTTATCACGATGAGTGTATGCATAACTGTATGCGATGCATAAATGCAGAGATGTTCTTGTGATGAGTTGTTCATAAAGCTTCTTCCACTACTGCTAAACCTTCAAAGCTGCTTACTGTTTTGGGAGTGGAGTGATGACATTTGGCTGCTGGTGGTGCTTCCCAGGGAAACGTTGTTTGCAGGCAGAACCTTTGGAAATTTTAGGGCAATGATGTGGCATTGTGTAACATAAAACATTGGTGTGGGCACAGATGTTTCAGTGTCACATCTTGTGAACAGTTAATTAACTGGCTTGTGACTCATGCAGTATTTAATAAGGGCTTGAACACTTACTGTAATTATATTTAATAGCAGTTTCAATTTTAACTTGAGAAATTTCAAAACCTTTAAAACTCTGTTAAGTGAAAAGTAGCAGTTGCCTAGTCTTGTTGAATCTCATGGATGTTGGAAATTTTTTTCTAGCCTACAGACTGAGTTTAATTGTTCCAGGGGCTATGATTCAGCAAGATATGTTTATTAAAATCATTTTTGTTTTCTTTACTTTTACTGATTTTATTTTCTTACAATTTCTTAAAAAAATCTAGAAGCATATATTTTGGGATTACTTGACAGTTGCTTCATCTGACAATGAATTTTTTGTATTCATTCCTCCAATGCTTCTGTAGCAGGCTGTTATAGCTATATAGCTGATCTTTATCTTCTCACAGGGGAGAAATGGAGTTCTTACTGTTTGTCTTCACTGACAGCTTGTAACATTTGTACCAGCAAAATTGGTAACTTGTGGGATTCTGCCTCCCTCTCCACTTCCACTGGAAGTTCTGCTTCTTGCTCCTTTTTGCATGCCCTCACTGGGGAGGTATCCAGCCAACACGTCCGAACGGCCGCACGCAATCCAAACAAAGCCATCTTCACCGTGGATGTCAACACATCAGAGGTATTTGCAGTAGTAACTGCTAAACTAAGCAGGCTGTATCTGGTATAGGTTGTGTGACATCAGACAGGCTAAAATGCCCGATAATCTTATGTGTATCTACAGGCAATCAGAGCGTCATGAGGCATTTTATAGTTTGCTCAACCTCAGACTGACAGTGCGTTTATTTCCATTGCAGATTGTAGTTAGCAAAATATACAAGACAATAGCAGAAGCATGGATGTCTTGAGTCTTTTTGCCTAAACAGAAAAAGTGAATAAAGAAGAATACAGCTGTGCAGCAGCATGAGGGAGGAAAGGAAAAGCAGAATGTGCTTCAAGCCTTCTGTCTGTTAAGTGCCAACTCTGGGATGGGTTTGTGGTGGCACGAGGTCCCTTTATCTGCCCCAGTAAATATGCCTTTTGCATTGGGAGGGAGAGAATTTCTCTGCTTCTGTCCTGAGAGTAAACGTTAATAGAAAATTGAGTACTGAAAACATTAAAGCGCTGTGTCATTTTTAGTTTGAACTGACAGTTTGGGCTTAGCCGTCTTAAAGGCATTTAATCCTGACTTGGCCTGTAACGCAGGCTTAAGTATGTCAGTGACTGGTGTGATTACTGCATGCCTTCAGGTGTGGATAAAATTTTGTAGTCTGCCCAGGCTTTGCCTGCAAATACAACTTTGTAGTTTTGCCTCTGTGGATGTAATTATTGAAACGACACAAGGGGCTGGAGCAGGCAGGCAGTTAAAAGAAAGCAGGAAGCCTGAAAGGAAAGCAGTGTCTCAAACCCTCTTAACCAACAAGGCACATGGTCAAGGGCTGTCCTAGGATAAGAAGCTGTAGTGAACTGTTTTTGAAGATATCAGAATTTAAAAGAACTCCTCCATTTCCACCAAGAGGAAAGGATATTATAAGACATTAAAGCAACAACCCGAGGAGGTGATGATTTGCTAACAAAGCTTACAGCTTTTATTCTTTGTTTTGTTTTGGGGTTTTGGGGTTTTTTTCTGCTTTTCTAGATCCTAGTGGCTAATGACAAAGCCTGCAAGCTGCTTGGGTGTAGTAGTCAGAATCTCATTGGTCAAAAGCTGTCCCGCCTGATATCCAAATCCAGTCAAGAAGTTTGGGAAGCTGTGGATGAGGAGTCCATAGAAACTGATGAATGTTCATCGGTGGTGTCGGGAACTGTGGTATGTGAAATGTTCAAGCAAACATTCCCCACCATATGCAGTGGTTTTGTGGCTTTGGTTTGGGGTTTTTTTTTTTCACATTTTCAATATAATTTCCTGATATATTTAATTTTTAAGTTTGTGGGCATTTGGCAATTATGTCATTTATAGGACTGTTTGGTTTAAAAGTTTGAAGATGTGGGAATTCAAAAGGCAAAAGGTGGTTTAGGGGGCACCTGTGAGAGCATTGCAGCTGCCAACATGTATAGTCACGATGACTTGACCAAATCAGAATTAAAGGACATTAGATTAAATAAAAAAAAAAAAAAAATTCAGTAGAACTGCTTAACATGGAAAAGTTCCCGATTGTCTGGGTTTTTTTAAATATTTTAAAAAATCTTAAATTGCATTGTTCATATTATGAAGTTACAAGTCAGTCAAATACTGTGAAATGTCTGTGCCAAAACACCCTAGCTGGTGCAAAAGAATGGAATTCATATTTTGCCTGTAGTGGGACTGGAGTTGTTTATAAGGAGAACTGCATGAGAAATGTCTCAAAATTATTTTCTTTTGCTGCTGTTGTGAGCTGTCACTAGAAAATATTTGGAAAATGAGCTCATATTCTTACTGGAGTGTTATTTTTGTACTGAAACTGTCAGCATCTCAGAGCTTGATCTTCCTGAATCCGCAGCTGGATATGGGGGGAAAAAATACCGAAGTTTGATTTGGTGAATTAAAATTAAATATCTGATAAAGGCACTGAGTCTAAGCTGCAGCCATTCCATTTATAGGACTCACTGTGTAATTCATAAACCCATTCTGTCAAGATCATGTAACCTGAAGCCTTTTATCATTTTTACAAGATAAATAAACATTTTCTGATTTGAGAAGTATCTTCTCCCATAAGAAATTAAACTGCTATTTTTGCAGCTTAAAGTAAGGACTACGTTACTAATGTTGAGTAATCATTAGCACTGTGGGACATCTCTTCAATAAGGCCTCTGGAAGGCACTTCTCTTGAATGCAAGGTATTAGGTTGGCACATTTATTGTGCTGAAGGAAATGCCTTTAGTCTTCCTGAGGCTGGGAAAGAAGATACAAAAGCAACGACATTTTCTGTATGATCAGTGAATTATTTGCCAACCTTTTGGGCTCTATATTAAAACAGTGTTTCTTCCAACAAAAAACTAGTAAGTAGTCAAGAAACAATGTTTTTCTGACAATGACAGGGAGATATCTTGGCTCAATATCTTATTCTTGTTTGAAATTCTTGCTAAGTAACCACAGCCTTAGTAAATTATGACCAAATCTCTGAATCCTATGGACAGGTGGATGTTATAGGCCATCTGGAAGAGAAGATCCCTGTTTCAGTCTGGCTGAGGCGAATAAGAAGTAAGGACAACCAGTGTTGTGTGGTTGTGCTGGAACCAGTGGAAAGACTTTCAGCTTCTGTTTCCTTCACGGTTGACGTGAGTGTTCTCCTAATGATCAAATGAGACTGCAGTTTGTGAGAGTTTATGTGCAAATGAAATGTGTCTGAAAGACAGCAGGCATATTACTGTTTGTGAACGTGAAGTGTGTACATAGCAGTGCCTGAAACCGGGATTGCACATGCAGGACCCGTATGTGTTTCACCTCTGCGACTCACCTGGACGTATTTGACAAGTCACATTAAAATGCACTGTCTCTCCTTTGGGGACATCTTAGACTTGAACAGTGACAGTTTGGCAGGGGTTGGTTATTCACGGCAGGTGTGGCCTTGTGAAGGGATCAGCTTGTTGAGGAAAAGTTCTGTGGGTCGTGTTGGGCTCCTCTGCTTCTCCACTACAGCAAAGGGCAGGCTCTCTGCATGATAATGTCGGAGAAGTATTGCATTACACTGTATCTGCTTTTACTGAGGTGGCTGTAGCTGTGAAGGGACTGCAGAATGAAAGCTCCTGCCATTTGCTTAGGTATTTGCAGAAACTGTTGTTAAAAGATTGACTGTGGCTGAAATGTTAAAATTTAAATAGTCCTGTAAATTTTCTTCCCAAGGGAGAGATAACTTCATGTGACCTCCTTTTTGCCCATCTCCATGGCTACCCAACATTGGAAGAAGTGGTTGGGGTCCACATAAAGGACCTGATTCCTTCTGTGCAGATCCCTCCTCTAGGCAAAAAAATCCCAAAGGTATAGTATAAGCACCAACCACGTTCTTCCATACCCTTCCCATCTGGAACATAGGTGCACACTCTTTTCCCTCCTTTGGTAACAGAAGAAAACCTTTTCAGAGAGAAGCGTAAGTCCCCTGAAAAAGGGTGTGCTGCTTACTTACGGAGCTGCTGTCTGAATATTTCCTAACTAGGAATGAGACCAAGCTGTGAGCTCTCACTGTGGAATCTGTCCTGGTGAAAGACACTTTTCTCCAATCCTGGCTTTTTGAAAAAAAGCACTGTCTCTGGTGGCTCCCTAAAATTAATTTGGATTCTGTAACTGGTTTCAGTCATGTTTGTCTGAGGAGTGAAAGTCTAAAGAATGCCCAGATCTTGCAAATGCCATGAAAATGTGCAGCTAGATAGTTGAGAGAGGCCTTATTAATGCTTCATTTGCTGAAAAGCTGCAGCATGGAGTTTCCTGGTCTTGTCATCAGGATATTCATACAGGAGGTCAACACTGCATTCCAGATTCTTAGAAAAATCAGACTTTGTTCCTTCTGATATTCATAGGATTGGTTAATTTTTCTTTTCCTACTTCTTTTTCCTGAGAACTTTCCTACGTAATTTTATATGAATAATGAAATAAAACCAAAACATTTGGTTAGTTAGAGTTTTCTTGTTCTTTTTTTTGTTTTTTTTTGCTTTAATTTAGAACCTCAGGATCCAGCGAGCTGTAGGCCAGTCCAGAGAAGGTGGCATGTTTCCTCTCAGTTTAAATCTGCAAGTAAGCCTTCTGGAGGAGGACCAAGCGGTAGTGCAGAAAGATGGTGTTCTGCAGACAGAAAACGAAGGTTCTTTCCCAGGCTATCATTACTCTGCTACAGTCATGGTTTATTCCACCATCAGTGGTCTTATTACTGTCCTGTCAGACGGAACCATCTGTGGCATCAAGGATAGTTTTGCTTTAATGCTCTTTGGCTATGAGAAGAAAGAACTGTTGGGAAAGGTAAGATGGAACTTTTAATCCCTCCTAAAAGACTGCTATGTCTGGCAGCGTATCCATTGGAGTTGTGAAGTTGACTTTTACATTCATTTCTGTCTGTCACAAAACCTCTTTGTTCCATGTGTTTGGCGAGTGCATTGTAGGATTCCCTTACTGTGATTGCTAAGTCTTGCAGTGCTGAGGGGCTACTATGGATTCCAAGTAGCCCAAAGGTCCTCTTTTGTTCTCCATGAGTTATGTGGATCACTTTTGCCCTAGCTTTCTGTGAGAATCAGGTCCACAAACACGGATTGTTAGCATTTGCCCCCAACCTGTGAGACTCGGCTTAGCTTTATAAGGTTTGCTTCTGTGTTTTAGAACATTACGTTCCTGATCCCTGGTTTCTATAACAACATGGAGAGAAGCAGTGACTGTTCTTTGCTATTACCTCCTCTTGATGACTCCATGGGGACAGAGAGTGAGTGCATCTTTGAAGATGTTATTGCCTGCCGTGCAACTGGCTCTGGCTGCTGTAACAAAGGTAAAATGAATAGAGATTCGAGATTTGCTTATAAACATGGGAACGTGATTTGTAAAAGCAATGTACTTCCATGCAGTTTTTAAATTGGACTTCCCTTATAACCAAAAGTGAACAGAATTGTTCACCTGAGGTTGTGCTTGTGTCTTTGTTGCTAAGAAGATGAAACTGAATATCGAAGTTGGAAATGACAGTGTTAATAGAGAATGCTTTGTACTTAACGAGCATTTCCCTTTCCCTCACTCCCCTATTAGGATCTCTGAGTATTTTACAATGTCTAAAATCATAGAATCATAGTTTGGAAAAGACTTCCAAGATCACGTCCAACCATCAACCCAACAACACCACGCCTACAAAACTATATCCCGAAGTGCCACATCTACACGTTTTTTGAACCCCTCCAGGGATAGTGACTCAACCACCTTCCTGGGCAGCCTGTTCCAATGCCTGACCACTCTTTCAGTAAAGAAATTTTTCCTAATATCTAATTTAAACCTCCCCTGACCCAGCTTGAGGTCATTGCCTCTCATCCTATTGCTAGTTGCTTGGAAGAAGAGACCAACACCTGCCTCACTACAACCTCCTTTCAGGTAGCTGTAGAGAGCAATAAGGTCCCCCCTCAGCCTGCTCTTCTCCAGACTAAACAAACCCAGCTCCCTCAGCTGCTCCTCGTAAGCCTTGTTCTCCAGACCCTTCACCAGCCTCGTTGCTCTTTTCTGGACACCTTCCAGCCCCTCAATGTCCTGCTTGTAGTGAGGAGCCCAAAACTGCACACAGTACTCGAGGTGCGGCCTCACCAGTGCCAAGTACAG